ATATATATATATAAATAAATAAAAAAAATCCATAATTCTCAAGCCTGGTGAAAATGTTCTAAGGGCAGTGGTGAAAAAGTAAACAATTACATATAGTAGCTAAACTGCTGATATTTTTCAATGGGAAGAATTAATTTTTAAGCAAGTTAATCCAATGTATTCTATTTAGAAATTGAGATTCTATTCATCAACATCTGCAACAAATTAGGATTGCATGCCAGATTGTCAGTCCACATCCCCATTAGAGAGATATATGGTTGGTTACACAAAAAAGGAGATACCCCAGTCCCTCCCCTCTGCTGGACAGAGAAAATAATTGGTCTTTTAAAACAAAGGGGAGAACTCTAGTGGTCTGTTGGCTGAACTTGGAAAAAGCATGGGGCTACCATCCTTTCCCCAGCTTTTGATTGTCAAGAGGCTTCTGAGTGCAATTTAAAGTAGTTGTACTAAATATCATGGACTGTGTGAATGATCTCGAAGAAAGAGGGGAAGAGATGCTGCCTAGGAAACAATCAGACAAGAAAACATGTTAATGTACTCACTTGCCTGCTGGTAACTGAGAGAAAAGCATTGTAAGTTACTTTTTTATAATAGGATTTTATGTAGTTTAAGTATGGTTAAGCTAAACTCTTTCTGTTAGCTTCCTCTTTACTCTTTCTGCTACATATAAAACCCTCACCCTAAAGCCTAAAATGTGTTCAGTTACAAGTACATGGTGAATTGTTACAATCTTCTTGGAAGACAGGAAGATCTGCCCAGGGCTAGACAACAAGTAAATAAGATAAGGGACATCCTCCCAAGGTAAAGCCCAGCAGTGAAACAAGACAAGACACAGAGGCACAGAAAACAATGTCATGTTGACCCTTAAACCTATAATTTAGCTCATCTTAGAATGCAAGAAAATAAGGAGGTCTGGGGAGGGCCTCTTAGGCGTGGTGTGTTCTATGTAGGGGTATAAATGTATTGTTTGAATATGGAATTTTGCTCTCCTTGTACTCAATCCACTTGGGAAGGGTCTTGGAGGCCGCGCTTGCAACTGCTTTTTCTTTTCTTCAATAAACCTTTGAAATTGTGCACCAGACTTGTCTTCGTATTGTGAGTATAAATTTATTGGGGGTCTTATATTTCACATAGCCTTGATTTTTTTTTAAATAGTTTTAAGATGTTGCACAAACCCTAACCTGTTTGCTTTCCAGTGCAAACCCACAAAGTAAGTTAATTTGATACTATATGAAATGTGTCACTCAAACGAAAGCTTATGGGTGTGTGTGTGTAATATTTTCTTACCTGTTCCATCTAGCCCTTCAATAACGATTACAGGAAAATTTCCTTTCTTTGGATGTTTAGGACACTTATCCACTAGTTCTAGAATCAGTCTGGATTCAGGAATTATTGAAGTGCACTATAACGAGAAGATACATTGATTCTGAAGAATTAGAAGCAGTACCTAAGGAACACAATGCTTGTGATGGCCACTTGAAATGCCAGATAGACTGAAGAATATGGCTCCTGAATCCTGAGCAACCGTTCTGTCACCTGAAAGAAATTCAGCTGACATTCACAAGAGACAGATACCAAAATCTCTGTCTTCCACATAGGAGCTATACCTTGGCCGTTCAAAGGGTAGATCATAGGAAAACAATACTTAATAGACTTAAGTATGATTGGCCTAATTTAAAAGATATTGTGCAATTAAACACGGACATTTTACAAGGTTCTTTGGAATATGTATCCATGTCCCCTTTATCCATCCATATTTTCTTCAAGAAAACATACACAATCCCTGTTCAAGACACTACAGAGTACAAACAGAATGCAGACACTGAAAAACTAAGTTTGAACATCATGTGTTGCATAATGATACACAATTTACATTTTCCACCAGGATTTTTCATACATTTTCCCTTCAAATAAACTTTTTATTGTTCAAAAACAAAAATCAAAAGGCCTTGGTAAAGTTTCTATTCTAATTGCTTTAATAACAAAAAAAAACATGACAATTATCATAGTCTGGCTCAAATGAAGCTTTTGAGAAGATATGTTTACAGAATAAAAGATTTCTATAGCAATAGGAAACCCCTCAATAAAGAAGACATACAGCAATGAGTAAGTGAGAAGTTGCAAGTGTTTTTCTTAATTATTAAATTTCTCCTGGGCATTAAAGATGTTAGACTTTCAGCAATTCAGTATTACACTAATTTTGAGAACTTAATAATTAATAATACAGAACAAATAAAGAGAACAATCTCAAAATTGTATAGGTTAGTTACCCTTGAAGTTTGAAACAAGGCAGCCACTTCGTGCTCTTAAACTAAGGAAGCTTAGGAAGCTTCATTTTAGTAAACTCATTCAGGAGATAAATTGACAGGCATTATAGAAATCAGGTTGATTCACCACAGCTTTAATGCAAGAAATTATGTGGGAGATTTTATATCATTGGCACTTGATTCTAGGCAGATTGGTAACTGTACATACTATTCTTCCAAATATTGGATAAGTTGTCTTTACTTCATTTGTAGTAGTTATGCAATAAAGTTATATATCAGTTTGGAGTAAAAATTTGGGGGAGACAAAATCATTATTTAAAAAGAATTGAATACAACTTAGTTACCCAGAGTTACTGAATTTATTTTTGAGACTAAATAAAAATGAGAAATGTATGCTACTTAATTTTAACAGCTAAAACTATTGCCCAATATTGGGAAAAAATAGATAACTAAATAATTAAGGTATGGATTAACAAGACCTCTTCAATTGCCATGTTAGAAAAGATTATAGATACAGTGAAAATACACCAGACACAGGAACTATAATTCTACCAAATTTGATGAACATTATATTTAATTTCAGTTGCAATAGAAATACCATTGGTAAAGCTTTAGATATATATTAACTATTAACTATCTTATTAGCAGATTTTTAAATAAGCTTATACATAAAAACATATATCGATGTGCATGCAGATACATCACAAATTTGTCAGTTACTTGATAGTTCAATTAAAAACAAAAACCCTCCTGAAATATAAACAAGCATCATTAAGAGTCATATGTTAATAACATATTTCATATATGGCATTCTAAATGGGCCATGGAAAAGTAGTTCCTGCATATAATTTAGTCAGAGTGATTTTTCTTCAAATGGACAGTCGTCATAAAGCAACTACCGTGTTTCTCACATAATAAGGCCGGGCCTTATTTTTTTTTGACCCCCGAAAAAACAGCTAGGCTGTCTTTTCGGGGGTGACTTAATTCCCCCCCTTGCATCCTCGGGTGGGTGGGCGGCGACAGCTTGGATGTTCGGGAGACCTTCCGCCACCGTTGCTTTCCCTTCTCCCTTGCTGCCGCGGCGTTAGAGCAACGCCGCGGCATTTGGCACAGCCATGTGCAGCCAGTCAGGGCTCCTCCCTGCAACCGGAGCCCGGCGGAGACACTCGGCTTCAGTCACTCCTGTCGCCGCCTTCCCTTCGCCTTCGAAGGCAAAGCCAATTCTTTTAAAAACGACGCCCTACTACTGGTATGACAAAGCCTCCCCTGCCCGAGAGGGCAGCCCAACCCCACATGGAGAGGTGAATCTCCTGGGGCCGCAGCGCAGGATCGGCCCACCCCGGGAGAAGCGCCCAGCCGCCATCCCTGCCTAGTGCTGGGCAGAGCGCGAAGAGCTTCGCCTGGGGTGCCCAGCGCACCTGACAGGCGGGCCCTCCTGCCCGGTGGTGGAGCTCTCGCCAAGGCAATGAGCGCCTCCCCTCCGCTCATCCCGCCAGAGCCGTGCGGGCTGGGCAGAGCTAGGAAAGTGAGCCGCGGGTGTTTAAATGTTCTTCGCACTCTGCCTGGCACCAGGCAGGGATGGCAGCTGGGCGCTTCTCCCAAGGTGGGCCAATCCTGCGCTGCGGCCCCGGGAGATTCGCCTCCCCATGTGGGGTTGGGCTGTCCTCTCGGGCAGGGGAGGCTTTGTTGTAGTAGGGTGTCATTTTTAAAATAATTCGCTTTACCTTCGAAGGCAAAGGGAAGGCGGCGACAGGAGCGCCTGAAGCCAAGTGTCTCCACAGGGCTCCGGTTGCAGGGAGGAGCCCTAACTGGCCGCACGTGGCTGTGCCGAACACCGTGGCGTTGCTCTAACGCCGCGGCAGCAAGGGAGAAGGGAAAGCAATGGTGGCGGAAGGTCTCCCGATATGAAGTGCCCCACCAACGCAGGCAGCACCATATCTGGGCATGCAACAAAGTACTTCCTAACGGTAAGCCCCCCCCCGCCATTCCCCCCCCATTTCGCATTTTTAATATGGGCCTTAATTTGGGGGGAGGGGCTTAATTTGATTTTATGCCTAGAAAACATGCTGAGTCTTCCTATTGGTGGAGGTCATATTGTTGGAGAAACACGGTACCATGGTCGTTAAACAACAAAAAATTAAGCAAACACATTGTTTGCTATGGGGCATTTTTGTGTAAAACTGGAAGTGAAAAATGGTTTCTTGTAAAAATATTGTAAATCACGGTCATGTGATTGCAAGACTTTGCAAACAATTTAAATGTATATCAGTTGACTATGTGGCCCTTCAAAACTGGGTCATAAGTACTCCTGGGGAGGGCCTTTGTAATTCTGAATGGTTGCTAAGCAACCAGTCATAAATTGAGGCCTGCTTATATGCTCCAGATTTGAAGGCCCAAGATTTGAAAAGCTTCTTGGAGAAAACCATGACAACTTTTGACCCAGTTAGTGTGATTGCCGCTACCATTGCCACCATTAAGGCAATTTAACTGGGTTATGCCTCTTGTAGAAGATACATGTCGGTCACAAGGTCTATTTAACACAAGACCTCAAATCCTTTCGTTTATCAACCTCTTCATGAATGTCAGATGGTTCATTGGGTCCCAACATAGGTAAATAATTCAATACTACGTTTACCAATAAATACTATGAATAATAATATTGACTCTTGATTATTGATAATGTATTGACCAGTTTGGGGGACTCTTGATTTATCACATGATGCAGCCTGAGGAATTCTGGGAGTTGAAGTTGTAAACTTCATTGTAAACTTAACCAAGCTTATGAAATACTTAGTCCTAGATGATCTGAGTCTACTTTTTTTCAATTTATAATTTATCTAACTTATTTAAAAAGGGTAAATGTTGTGGCTGCAACATCAAGTCTACTTTATCATCATTCCCCCCCCCCAACACCCAAATTCTGTTGGTGCCATTATTGATTAGACCAGGGGTATCCAACTTTGGCAACTTTAAGACTTCAATTCCCAGAATTCCCTAGCCAGAATTCCCTAGCCAGAACTCTGGGAGTTGAAGTCCACGGGTCTTCAAGTTGCCAAGGTTGGACATTCCTGGTTTAGACCCAGCAAATACGTTTCCCCTGTACAATCTTTTAACCCTATCAAACCTCCTCCATCACTCTTTATCCACGGAAGCCACCTGGTCACTATTTGGCTTTCGCTTGGCCAGTCATCCTCCCTCCCTCTGTATACAGGTAGTCCTCAACTTACAACCCAAAGTTTTTCTGCTAAGCAAGGTAGTTGCTGAGTAACTTTTGCTCCATTTTACGACCTTTCCTGTTGTTAAGTGAATCGCTGCAGAATGGTTGAATGGAGAATGGTTGTAAAGTAAATATGACTTCCCCAGTGACTTTGTCAGAAGATTGCCAAAAGCAGTCACATGAACTCAGGCCACTGCAACTGTCATAAATGTGAACCAGTCGCCAAGGGTCTGAATTTACATGGTAAGGATGTTGCAACGGTCGTAAGTGTGAAACACATGGTCCTAAGTCACTTTTTCAATACCGTTTTGCTTTGAACGGTCACTAAATGAACTGCTGTAAGTCGAGGGCTACCTGTGCTTCAGCTACGGCCTGAAAAGGAGGCCTGGTTCTGCGGTGTTCCTCTTTATCCTAAACACTTACTTCTTCCAGCACTTGTCGGGCAGCTTCCCGAGACCTGAACACGGCGTTGCCCAGAAGGTGAGGCACGGCAGGGTGGGACTGCGGTTTTTCCGCGGCCACCACATTAGCCCTGCCCAGCAGCTCGCTCTCCTTTCCTGGCCCTTTACAGCCCCACAAGGCGCAGCCGAGCCGGCCGCTCTCGCCTGGCTCGTACACCCAAAGGTGGGCCGGCGCTGGGAGCAGGGCCCCCAAGAGCTCTTCCAAAAAGCCCCGCGTCTCTGGCAGGCCCTGCTCGTCCTGAACCAAGAAGCCTTTCTCTAGCAGAGCTCCGCCACGCCCGTAGCAGAGGAGCGGCAGGACTCGGCCCCGATCGCCCCAAGGCGCCTCCTGCTCGAGCCGGCGCTGCAAAGTCCCTTGCAGCCGGGCAGCTCGGACGCGCTCCCGCGGGGTTGGAGCCACGGGGACGCCGAAGGAATAGCATCTGCCCGGAGGAGGCAGGAAACACCGGGGCCTCGCGGGGTTGCCTGGCTGCCCGTCGGCGCCGCTGAGGGAGAAATAGGCCACCTCCGCCCTTGACGATTCGGCTACGAAGGAGCGCTCGAGCCAGCCCGCTCGGTTCGCAGAGAGCAGCTTATCCATGGTTAATCGTAGCAGCCGGAGAGATCCAGCGGCGCTGCCGGGCAGCATGAGGAGAAACGAAACCTGGAGTGGCTTAAGAAACCGCCCCGGCCCCGGCCCATTCGCGAACGGGGAAACAGAAACCGACCGCCGGCTGCTGTTATCGCTTGGAGGAAGGAAAAACCCGCGGAGAAACGAAAGCGAACCACCCTCTCCCTTTACATTACATACACGACCTTACATAACGAAACAACCCGAGAGGAAGTTAAGATTCAAGAATCCGTGACCAAAAGTGATAGGGGAAACTTGTGACAAAAAAAAAAAAAAAAAAGGAAACCGAGACGATTTGGGAAATGAAGCCGATATTTCATGAAACTGAAAGCTAACCAAGTATTAAGCTAACTGAGTATTAGCAAGCAGACTAATTTACCTCTGATAAATTTGCCTTTCGTTTGTTTTGAAGCGGGGTGGGGGTGGAGGGACCCGTTTGCGATTCGAGGCAAATGCAAATAATTTTTATGGGAATGAGCCTGGGAGAGAAGGCACATTATTTGCTGTTTTGTGTGTGTGTGTGCATCGGATTAACATGATCATCTTCTGGGAAAACGTTAATATACAACATAAAAAGTGCCCCCGTTATTTATATAAAGGGTATTTATTTGAATTAGTGCCCAACTGCCATAGACACTGATGTGCAAGATAAACATTATTCCTCTTCACAGCATCGGTAACTACATATGCCCAAAAGGCAGTCTTCTTAGTTTTGCTACAGAAATTGGACAGTAAGGATAGGAAAAAGGAACACCAGGGAACTTGATTTCTAACCAATTTCTGCTTAATTGGGATCAGGTGGATTTCCAGCTTGATAGTTAAACTCTGGCATGTTGAGTTGTTAGTTGATTGGTTGCCAACACTTACTAATACTTACATTTTTTAAACAGTTTCTAAAAACAACTTTTAATCTGGTATGTAATTAGGGTGGTTTGTTCTGCAAATATATTGCACAGCCTCAATAAAATGGAAGACTCCAATATTTTAAAAAAGCAGGGGTGGGCAAGCTGGATCCCAGGGACAAGAGCAGTTCTCCAGCTCATTTTCTCTGGCCTCGTCTAGAGCCCTCACCAACTAGAGATATTGTTAAGCTGAGATCTTATAGAGATGAAGAAACCAAGACTAACACCAAATATCCAAATCCGCAGTTGTGTGACAAACTCCTATTCATTTGAAATTCTCCAACTGAATATTTGCTTCGCACAAACCTATTTGTACTCCATGTCTATTCTCAAGAATTATGGTAACACCAGAATGTTAAAGATCATGTATCAACACATGAAATATTGGTTCAATCCTGCTATGGATTTAGCACTGTGGTAAATCTCTGATCCTCCAGATGTTGCAAAACAACTCACTTGGCATCCCTAATATCAGCCATGCTAATTAGCTACTGGGAGTTGTTCAGTGACGTCTCATCCCCACCTCTGCTTTAATTCGTTTCTCAGCCAGTTCTGACTTTTTGGACTCTGATGGACGTGTCATCAGAATTGTCAAGGAGTAGTAACTGCACCTTTGGCTTCTTGTAAAGTCCCACTGGTGTTATCAGAAAGCATCTAGCCACCTTTTAATTAACCATCCTCCTTTTTTCCCAAGTGTCTTCCCCGCTTGTCTTCGATGGCTCTTGCCCTCACATTACAGATATACCTTTTTTTATTCATTTAATATTTTTGACCCAGTTTTCACAGCTATGTAAACCATGGCCTTCACGGTGCAGCTTGGTTATCTAGTATCATTGACAAGCACAATGGTAATAAAACAGTGATGAAAAAAATCATTTTCCAACGAAGGCAGGCATTTATAACCAATTTCCTGACCTCCCAAAAACCTTCCCAGTGAAACTGATTTAAGGTCTGGTGAGTTTCAAGCAGCAGCTGGCAGAGTTGTTCTAATCAACCAATTAAAAGTCAGGGAACTGGAACTTACGGTTTGAAGGGCTTCAGTGACAGACAGGAATCCGCGATCGTGCACGGTTTCTGCTTGGGCTTGCCGCTGGAGCGCCCCGAGCCAGCTGGTTTCGGGGCTAGAGGTGGTGAAGAAGGGGGAGACTGCCAGCAGGGTCGAGGAGAGCCGCATCTCTCCTCCTCAACTGGTGAAACTCCCTTTCCCGAAGGCGGTAGGAGCGGTGGTCAGAAATGGCCACCTCAAAGAAGTACTCAACCGGAGAAGAACGTGCAGGAGGAAGATAAGTGAAAGTTTTGGCTGACCGGACTAAGTTGAAAAAGCAATAACTAAGGTACCCTGGAATTTAAATTTTACAAGAAATAACATCGCTCCCAAAGAAGAGTCGGAAGCAGCAAAAGAAAATGAAAAGGGAAAGGTTTGACTTTTTTTTTCTTCTCTCTCCTTCCTTATATTGACAATTAAGAATAAGAAATTGGAAAAATCCGCTTTGGCATCAATAGGCAATTAAACTGAAAATATAACTAAATGCCAAAGGGACAATAAAGATTTCTGGACATTAAAAACTTTTTCTTCTATAAACAGGAAGGGAGAGAAAAAGAATAAGGGCAGGATCTGGAAGAGGGAGGAGACTGCCTGGACTTTAAAAGAATCTAAAGTAAAACTTCAATAAGACTTCTAAAAGATACATTTTAACTGAAACTTTGCAACTAAATAGTAACCCCAGGAAGAGAAAGTGGAAAAAAGAAGAAAGAGCAAAAAGAAACAGTTTGCGTGTATTTGGATTACTTGGTGATTTTTGGATTTTTGGCTATTATATTTGAATGACTAAAATAAATCGGGTGGTTGTTTAAAAATTTCTACAATGGCATTACTTTTGGATGAATTGAAAATGGAACTTAAAAAGTATAAAGAAGACGCACAAGAAGGGAAGGGTTCCTTTGGCTTCGTTTTTCAGTTCTTAGAAATGGAGATTTGGAACTATGAGCAACAACAAGAGAAGACTGCAAAACAAGAAGACTGGGACAAAGAAGAAGCCATCTTTAATGAACAAGTAACTCTATGTGGGGAAGAAAAAGGAAAGGGGGGAAAGAGGATGGAGAATTTAAGACTTAAAAAAACAAACAAAGAAAAGAAAAATAATTCAAAAAATAAGTATAATACTGGAAAGCAACAGAAAAGGGGAATACAGAAGAGGGAAGTAGAGGTAGAGAGACAAAGGGGTAAAAAGGGGAGGGAGAAGAAGAGAGGGAAGAAGGAAAGGAAAAGAAGTCACAAAGGTCTGGAGCAAGATATAAAGAAACAGGACCTATTTAGAGATAATGGGTAAAAATTTAACTGAAAGGGGGATCCTGTAAAGGTACATGAGATTGTGTTGTTATATTTGAAATAGAAATAACTTTAGAAAATTGGAAACAACATATGATTAGAATGAGGGATAGAATGGTTAGTGTAACTTAGTGAAATGTTTGTGAATAAAGTAAATGAAATAAAATAAATGAGAAAATTGAATTAGGAAGGAATGGGAACACTTTAACTAGTCAATGTTTTATAAAATATAAGTGAAGAGGGGGGGAATTGATTATGGAAAGTTTATAATTGTTCCCATAGAAGTATGATACTTAATTGAAAAGTAACGTGAAAAATCTTAAGACTTTAATGAATATTAATATTAATGATAGAATTGAATTGGAATGGAATGTTTTAATTATATACATTTATAATTTTTTCTTTTTCTTTCTTTCTTTTTTAAGAATACTGTGTGTAGTTTAAGAATGTACCAAACAGAATCCGAATGGAGGCTACGTATTATATTGAGTGTTATAACTTTAGGGGAAAGATATAAAGGCGTCATACTCCAATCAGTAACTACAGGAGAAATTTTGTTTAATGAGAAAAGATAATAGACAATTGAAACAGGACAGACAAAAAATATAAATATAATTATTTGAATTGAGATGAAATAAATACAATAAAATTGTGGAAATTAAAAGAGGGGAGAAGCTATGTAGAAAATGTAAAATTGTAATAAGATATGGAATAGAATATAAAAATGAGCATGAACCTGAAATTGTGTCTGCACGAAGAAATATAACCCAGGATTATGCTGCTTTCAAAAAAGATGTTTTAATTGTGTTTCTTTTCTTTTTGTGAAAACTCAAATAAAATTTACAAAAAAAAAAAAAAAAAGTCAGGGAACTGAGCTGGTTAACTTGCCCTTTGAGTTGGAGAGAAAAACAGCTCAGGAAGAGACAGCTTGTTTAAGTAATATGTCTGCCCTGCAAGGGAGCCAAAAAAAGAAAAAAATGGGGAAATGGGTCAGGCCAAGGACATTGCAAGAGCAAATTTTATTTGAGTGAGACCACAACAGCTACCAATGACCTTCACAGCAGAACAATCACAGCAGCTGTAAACATATGGGGAAAAAAACTGGCAAAAGAGAGCTGATTTAGGAGAACAACAGAATATTGTACAGGTAGCTCTTGACTTACGACCACAACTGAACCCAAAATTTCTGTTGCTAAGCAAGACAGTTGTTAAGTGAGTTTAGACCCATTGTACAACCTTTCTTGCCACAGTTAAATGAATCACTGCAGTTAAATTCGTAACGTGGTTTTAAAGTGAATCTGCCTTCCCCATTGACTTGGCTTGTCAGAAGGTTGTAAAAGCTGGTTATGTCATCTTGGGATGCCACAGACGTCATAGATATGAGCCATTTGCCAAGCATCTGAATTATTGATCACATTACCATGGGGATGCTGCAATGGCCATGTGGAAAAATGGTCATAAGTCACTTTTTTATAATGCCGTTGTAACTTCAAACGGTCCCTAAACAAATGGTTGTAAGTCAAGGATTATGTGATGACCCAGGGCACGGCACAAAGGCAACACAGTCAGATAATAAGAGTCCGTTTATTAGCTCCAACTTTGCCCCCAGTGTCCAGGTTACCTTCTGGCTGGAGAAGAACTCTCCCAGGAACAGCCTTTAACTGCAGGAAATCAAGTCCAAAACATGGTCAACAAAAACTGTAACTTTTAAGTCCAATCAAGCCAAACTGAGGTAATTAGTTTGGCAGGGCAGGAGCAAGAATTCCATACGTGAAGGCATGGCAAAACTCACGTGGTTGGGAAGACGCCAGGAACACAGATAAACAATGACAACACAGGATAAAGTCACCTTTGCTCCCAGCAGCTGCCACAGTCAGCCTTCAGTTCTTACAAACTTTCATCCCAGGTGTGGCTAATGAAGGGAATTAGGGCCCTTTCCTCCCCGTAAGCCATGCAATCCATGTTGCTCTCTTCTCCATTCCTCCCTGCATGCCCTAGGATGAAGAGGGCGTGGGCCTGGGTCTTCCTCTGAACT